TTAGGTTCCTTCTGCCTGAAACTCATTTTTCCCAGTTGCTTTACTGACTTCTCCGTAGGACCCACACATGGCTTCCTTTAGAGAGCCTTCTTGACCATCTCTGCCTGTGTTAGATGCTCCGCCTGTGACGCAGCGTCAGCCACTTCCCCTGCCACAGGCCTTCTCCTGTTATGAACATCTGTCTCTGCTCTTCTCTATGCAGAAAGCTCAACAACGGGAAGAATCATGTCTGCTTCTTCACAGGTGTCTCTCCAAGGTCTGGCAGAGTTCCTGGCCAGGAGAAGAACTCAAAAAATGTTGAACTTACAGGTGTTGAACTTACTATCTATGACGCATTTGGTAGCTCATTGGTTATTTGGTAGCTACTCTATATACTTATATTTTACCTATATGGTCGTTAATATATACTTATATTTTACCTACATGGAGCCAATTTAACCCATGAGAATACCCACATGCTGTTGAAGAGGATATACAAGAGACAAAAGGTAGCAGCGGTTGGGACATGTGACCTGTGGCTGTAGCTGAAAAATGACCACTTCACATTATTATTTTGGGAAAAAGAAGAGGATGGATGGATGGATGGATGGATGGATAAGAGAAAGCAACTGACATTCATTTACTTGACAAGCTCTTACACTGTGCCAGGTGGTGTTCTAGGAAATGGGGATGCAATGGTGAACATACTATCAACCCAGGCAGCGACGTAGAGATGGAGGCCTGAGAGTGACGTCAGGTAGGAAGGCCCAGCTCTGCTCTCTAGGTGGGGTGAAGAAGAGCAGATGCCTTGGCGAATGAGCTGTCAGCGAGGGCCAATGAAGCAGCTGCAGCCACGTTAGCACACTGAGTGGTGCTCTCTGAACCTAGAGCACGCATGGTTTTCAGCTTCCTGTGGGGAGTGGGAAGACTAATTCTCAGCCAGTCCACCAGACAAATTTCTGGCATCCTTTTAGTCTTGTTTTAAATGCTGCCTCCTGTGAGGTCCCACTTCTCCACATGAACTGCCCTAGGAGTACTGATGTGTCCCTTCCCCAAGCTCACTTTGCATTTCCCTTTTTTTAAAAATTTTATTGGGGAACAGTGTGTTTTTCCAGGACCCATCAGCTCCAAGTCAAGTAATTGTTTCAATCTAGTTGTGGAGGGCGCAGCTCAGTGGCCCATGTGGGGATCGAATCGGCAACCTTGGTGTTATGAGCACTGTGCTCTAACCAACTGAGCTAACTGCCCTCCCCTCACTCTGTATTTTCATGTGGCCCCTGGTAGCCTTCTACCTTGCCTCCTACCGTTTTCTCCCTCCTTCCCTACCTCTGAGGTGTTCCTTGATGTATTTGCAGCGGGGTCCTGCAGGTGTGCATACACACCTATCATACCTGGGCTATGGGGCTAAACGCTCCCAGAGTTCCTCGAGTCACTGCTGCAAGGCAGATGTGTTCTTCTGGCAGCACTTAATGTTAACTATGTAAGCTCGATTAATGCCAGGGTTTGGGAAAGCAAACATTCCTCCCCCCTCCCCCACAGTCCTATTTCTGTGCAGCAGCTGGAAGTCTCATAAATACCATAAAATAGTTTCTTTATGGGGAAGGAAGTTTACTTGTTAGATCTGAAATCAAATATCTGAGGAAATTATTAATGCACTTTATGCTCTAACTCCTCTCCTCCAAAGGCTGAGAAGCAGATCCCAGGGATATTTTCTGGGTCGATAAGCCAAGGGTTAGAAAGTTCCAGAATTTTAGTTACATTGGTTTATGTGTCATCGATTGAACTTTTTTCCTTCAGGAAATATTAATTTGGTGCTTTCTATGGGCCTGGTACTAAGGGATGCAGCTCTGAACATGCCAAGTTGGACCCTGCTCTCATGGACTTACAATCTAGTGGGAGGAGAACTTAAAACAAAAAATATAAAATAGTATGTATATGGGCATTGTGATGAATGCCTTTAAGAGTGTATAGCAGAGGAACTTGATGTTATCAGGAATGTTAGAGAGGCCCTGCCTGACATAAACCACAGGCTGGGTATAGATTCTTAGGGAGCCATTTTCCCTGCGATCACTTCTACAAAATATCCAGTATTCAAGGAATGGTGTCTGTTACAGATTGAGTTGTGTCCCCTGAAAATTCATGNATTGGATGTTTTTATTATTTGTTACTCTACATGATGCTTGTGCCAGGATATGTAACTATAATTCATTCATTTTCTCTGCTGTTGTACTCCATTATGTGACTCTTCCACTCGATCCACTTGATCCAGTATGTTGCAAAGACCACTCCTGTGTATGTTTCTCAGAGCACAAATTCAGAGGGTTTTCAAGGGTATACACCTAGTAGTAGAATGAAATCAATATCGCATAGGATATGTACATCTATGACTTGACCAGATGATGCAAAATTGCTTTCTAAAGTTGACGTTCAGAAGCAGTGAATGAGAGTCTCTATTGTTCCAGATTCTGTCCAATACTTGGTATTCTCACTTTAAACTTTGGCAGTCTGATGGATATGAAGTGTTCTCTCTCTTGTGCTTACTGTTGAAGTTACATGTATCCTGTGTGAAGTTGGGCCCCAAATCTATGGCTTGTGGCTATAGATTGTCCATGAATAGCTTTCCCCCTGTACCCAGAGTTGAAGCCCAGAGAGCCAAGTTTAGGTCTGCTTACTTGTTTCTTGGATTTCTAGCTCATTCTTTCACATAGCCTCCAATATTACTTTCCGCTGAAGTGGGCCCTAAACTTGCTTCTTCTCCAGAGCAGAAGGAGGGAGCAGTAGATGAGCAGCTAGCTTCGTACATCCATCAGTGTACAGCCAAAGAGGCAGAACCAATAAGAAATGTATATTAAGGGGTTTATTGCAAGAACTTGATTGACACAATAGTAGCTACTGGCTAGGCGAATCCAAAATCCATGGGCAGCCTGCCACTCTCAAGCATAGGCTGAAACACTTATCTGTAGGCAGAGTTTCTTCTTCTGGAAAACTTCGACTCTGCACTTAAGGTCTGTCGGCTGATTGAATCAGGCCTACCAGGTTATCAAAGATAATCTTTTTTAGCTAAAGTCCACCAATTATGGACTTAAAGTATACCTACAAAATATTATCACAGCCCTACCCAGATTAGTGTTTGATTGAATAACTGGGGACTGTAGCCTAGCAAAGTTGACACATAAAAGAGGTCATCGTCACACTGCATCTTTTGCTTTTCTCTCTGAATTCTACTTGTTTTTATTTTTTGTTTTTCTATTTTTGGCCTCTGAGCCATTGGCTCCTTCCTTTTTTTTTGGTGCTTTAAGTATTGTTAGAGGCCTTATGCTGGGAGAGTTTTTCAGGATATCTAGTCTGTCATATTGCAAGAAATCAAAGTCTTGAGTAAGTCATTTGGAAGTTATATAAGTCATTATGTAAGTCATTTGGAAATGTTTCAGCTGCCTTTTAAATGGCATTTACAGACATTATTAAATATTATAACATTAACAATAGGTCATTAGAATAATTAGCATATCAGATCACTAGCCTGATAGAGTATGGGGTGGGGAGTGGTTTATACTTTTGTGCTGATTTCATGCAAATCCAGTTAGTTGAAGATTCTANATTTGAAACCATTTTAATTCCAGAGTGTGAACCCCTGATCACCTCAATATGACACCTCAAGCAGGTCCTCTAGGGCAGGCCCTTTTATTCATTGATAAAGAGTTCAGATTCTGAGAGTTAATCCATCCTAGGGGACATGGCAAAGGAGTTTTCTAAGCATCTCAAATGGACACTAAGAAATTTTCCTAAAAAGAAAAGAGAGTTGTAGGACATACCACTTCTAGACCTGACCTCCAAAAAAAGTTAGTCATTGACTGGCGTTCTCCAGCATATCATGAATTCCTGTGTCTGTGAGATGAGAGTGCCCCGTTTTCCTAGAAACTGACAGAGGGCTTTCCATTGTAGACCCCTGCAAACTCAGTTTCAGATCAGGGACTTGGTGTTATCTAAGTCCCTAGACATACCTATTTTCTTGAAAACAGAATGGCATTAAATAGTTCAAAAAGTTGTGTGAATTTATAGCTGGGCTGCCAACATACAGGTAAATAAATGTTCCATAAAGCTGTCAGCGGAATAAGGAATATAGGTACCAACTCCATAATAGGGCAACCAGGAAGCACCAGCTCTGAATTTAAGATTCATAGATATCCAGCGATGGGTTTTAGGAGCAGGAATCCATGAACCTACAAAATTGCATGCTACATTTTTGATAGATACATATATATGTGTACTTTTTTCATTAGAGCCTCAAGGGCATCCGTGATCCCAAAACATTTAATAACGATGACTGAAGACATTTCATTACATCTTGTGTAGCTCTTCTGTGAGATCAACTGGCAGACTATGAAAGCACTGGTCTTACAAGTTTCAGGGATCATCATGATGTATATAATTTTTACTCTACTAATTTTCTTTGCATAGGTAAAGGATTGATTCAAATAAACCTTTGCATTGCATATATTTACAGACTGGATTTTTCCATCTACCACATGGAGACTTTTTTATTGAGCCTGTCCAAAAGCATCCCCTGGCCGAGGGAGAGTACCACCCACACATCATCTACAGGAGGCAGAGGCAGAGAGAGCCAGACATGAAGGAGCCAACCTGTGGATTAAAGGGTATTGTAACTTAAACCTCCTTACTGGGTTCTGTTTGTTCTCTTACTGCTTTATTCCAACATGACTTGTTCTTATTCAAATCTGATATCATCTCCCCATTTGTTGCCAGGAATTATGCACCTTTGTGTAAATCACTTCACTTCTCTATACTCAGGTTTCTTCATATTCTTAATAGGAAGGAAAAAAGGCGTCTCTTACATCCATGCCACATTAGTTGATGATAGTCATATGATATTCATAGTGGTGAACTGGTTTTTGTTGTTGTTTTTTTTAAACTCTTCTGAACCCCTTAGAGGAAGATAGTTTAAAGAAAATGATTTTCTATATTAGCAACGTTACAGTACCTTAGTGTGGAATATTATCAGACAGCTTGTCATCTGCACATGGAAGGCAGATTTAAATGTTTGATGATGTGGAGGATGTGTGAAGAGAAACTGAAAAAAAATGTCAACATATTATCAGACAATGAGTTCAGCTATGCTTCTTTGGCTGTGTTTTGTTTCTAGTTCACTGAGGTATGTTTCCTTCCCCAAAGCCCCTGGAATGACCTAAACTGCTTCTCTCTGCCTTGTACTAAACAGATTCAGGTAGTTTTTAAGAGATAAACTGACCTAGATTATTTCCTGGCAACTCCCACCATCTCTTTAATGTGAAGGAGATAATAGTCTATGCATAAAGAGCCCCTGGAAATTGGGACATTTTCTTAAATATTGTATCACTCCTTCTTTCTTCAGTGACAAAAAAATAATGGGCCAGAGGGGCAATTAATAAAAGGAATCCATAATATCATTTATATGTCTTAAGTGTTTGGAAACTATGGACTTCAAAGGGAAAATAGATAGATGATGAAGGAATCTGGGAAAGAGGGTTCTGATGAGGGTTTGAGAGGACTCAGAACTTCAGCTTTGCAAGTTAGAGAAAGAATGGAGAGTGAGAGGACAAGGGTTCAAATATTCAAATTTCTCTACAGACATCACCCAGACCCTGTGATAGATGGTAAGTTTCCTGGGAGTTTCTTCTATAATATTAGTAGACTATGTAAGCAACAAGAAACTTTTGTGCACAAAGATGGAATAGCTGCTTAAATTCCCTAACTCTAGTAAGCTATTGTAACTCTGTCCTAAATTAGATAATGTGCTGTTTAAAGCTCCTTCTGTCAAGCACCAAGAGAAGGGAAGAGACACATTGTCTGGCTGATGTGACTGATAAAGGTACCAATCCAGATAACTTCGTCTCAATGCGAATGTTTAGGATCCTGGTTGTCCCTGATCCAGTCACCTGGATGATTACCCAATTTCTGTTACACAGTGGATGAAGGATAACAGTTTGTGTGTGTTCAGTATTTTTTAGATCACGAGGTCATCAGTATGGCGGAGAGAGTTCCTAAGGCAGTGAGTGAAACTGGCTGGGTACTTGCTGCTGGAGGCATAGTGGCCCTGTGAAGTGCGCTGGGCTTGTCCTCATTCACCCACCTCGAGCGTCTCCCTCCCTTACAGTTTCCCTGGTGATAGAGTTGATTAGTAATGAATTGAGGATGGGGTGTGTTTAGTCATAAGGGCAGAAGAAATGGGTAGGAAAGGAGCTGAGTTTACAAGTATCATGCTCCCGTTAGGTCAAAGAATACCACAGTAACAACGCTTGTCATTACCATTTCATTATTGTGTTTCTTGGCTAACCTGAAGACTTACCGTAACTTTTATGAAAACTCTGATTAATCCCACCTTGGAGCAATCTGTGCATTGTGAATTTCTCCATACACATCTGCTAAAACACTGTCTCTTATACTTGCTTAAAACCACAGAATGTCGTAATTGAACAGCTCCGCTGGAAGGACTTGTGAGAATGCCTAATGCAGTCTCCTCCTTTCACCAAAGAAGCAATTGTGGCTCGGAGAAGGGAGTGAATTTTTCAAAAGCTTCAAGGAGTTGGTGGTGTTTAGAATATAGCCATGCTCAGAAGTTAAGATGCTATTATACCTTGGGCTTTATATTCCTTCACGTCTATTCTTTCACTCTTCCTTGAATATAATTTTTGTTTTATCAACTATCTCAAAAGCCCCAGCAGGGTAGGCAATCCATCCCCAAACACTATGCAACATAGTGTTAGGTGCAAAGTAGAAATGCAGTAAATCATTGAAATGAAACTAAGAGTGATTCGTAGCCAAGTAGATGAAACTAGACTAGACCAGCCCCTCGTCTACATAACACTGATAAAAAGAAAAAAGAAATGTACATTTTCTAGATTTGAGGAAGTGTCAGTTGGACGAGTGTGTAACCATCTCCCTTCCTAAATTCATGAGTGTGATTCAATGCTTAAACGATAGCTAGAGATTCAAGAATACTCTGATGTGCTTGTGAATATTCTCAAAGTGTACATGACATTTGGAATTTTAATAACCTGGTACACTGAAATGTTCTTGATCTGGCTGAACCAGGTAATTGCAGTGTTCTTACACCACATTACCCTGAAGAGATGGTGGCATTAACTGGCAGTAGCCATGTCATTAGCCAACACGAAGGCACACTTCATGCTTAGGTTAGTTGGTGTTGCAAGACTAAATTACTGTGATTATATCAAGAAAGATTGCTTGTGTAAAGCATTCTGTCTTTGTAATGTGCAAAGCAGAAAAAAAGATTTACTTTAAAAGTATTCTATAATAGTACCTTAGGAGAGAAAATGTATCGATTACTTCCCCTTAAAATATGCCCCTTCAATTCTATTTATTTCCCTCATGGAAAGGTGCCCAGGAATTTCATAATAAGCCCCTTAGCAATATGGCCTAATGTAATTAAGTTCTTTCTTTCCCCCCAGGCCTTTATTGTGATGCTATTTTGTTATTGATTTGATCAGTTTGAACTAAAATTTCTTCATCTGTGGGCTAGTTTTGTTTGCTTTTCTGAGCTTTCTATGTGCCAGCCATGCCAAAGTTCTTGTTTTCGCCAACGTTCTGGAATCTGTGTTAAATGGTGAGAAACTACAGCATGCCTGAATTCAATCTAGAGCAAATTTTAAAACCTCGTTTTATTGACAATGACAAGTTCCTGTCTCTTAGTTTTTTNGTCACAGTTGTGATTTGTACATCTTCTATGTTTATAATGCTTCAAAATAAAGTTTATTTAAAGCAACTCTTACAGGATAGCCTTGGGAAGCATTCACAGATATTTATATTTATGGCTTGGTTGAAACAATGAGGTGAATTTATTTCCAAAATAGAGTTAGCAGTGTAGAGGAGGAAGAGTAGATGACAAGAGAAGATAAAAGGGCGAATTTGTCTTTTTTGAGCCTCAGTCCCGGGCTCATTCTAACCTGGTTCTTCTGGGAACAGAGTACTAGCTCCCAGTGAAATGGGTATGTTTTCCTTAAGTCCATTGCCATTCTCCTTCAAAGCTATAGAAGAGGTGAGCAGGTTGTGGAGAAGTTCGGCGTGAAGAGTGCCTTCTTTGGCCCAAATCCAGAACTTGTAATAAAAGGTGACTGTCTTGGGCAGTGAGCTTCAGGGGAAGCTTGGAGCCAGTCAGTCCTTCTTTTGCAAAGTACACTGTAGATGGTTTCTTTCAAGATGACTGGGCTCTGGCTAAATGAAAGAGACCAATAAACCATGGCCACTTGGGACCAGGCGTACGAAGCTCTGTGTTTATATATTGCGAGAGAGAGGAGGTGCAGAGCTCAGCTGGGAAATCTTCCCACCCCGCCCTCCCCCAAACCAGCGGAGGTCTCTTCACCCGTCTCCTGTCTGGTCCCTTTGCTGTGACAGACACTTGAGGTCCTGGGTCCGGCAACACTGCTGCATGTGAGCAGGTGTCCTCCTTCCCCTCCAGCTGGTGAGTCACTCAGCTCTCCTAGATCTCCATCCAGCTTCTGAGAAATATTTCCGCCGCATAGGTAATTCTGGGTGCACGCTGGCAGGCTGGCCTTGAGGAAGAAGGCAAACGGAAGTTTGTCTTTAGGGAAATGCTTGTGTGGCTCTCAGCATTCTCGTGCATGTGGCCCACAAAGTAGTTACGATGTTCTCACCTGGATTCCCATCTGTTTCTTCTGTACTGCCGGGGTCCAGAATTTGAGGCTGAAGAATTACCAAGAATTGCTTCTTGTTGGTGATTTCTTTTTTCTTCATGGACATCAGTATCAGGTTGATAGCAGTTTCACAGAGGGACCCCAAACCAGCCGTTCTTGAGGAGTCTGACTTCTGCTCTGCTTCTATGGAACAAATGAGCTTCATTAGCAAAAGGCTCGCTTTCTCCTTGTGTCCCTGGTGTTTGTTGCAGAGTAGAAATGGAACCAAGTCTCAGACCTGCACGAGTCTCGTTCAGCTCTTTTATTGCAGTCTGGACCTTGTCTGCTCTTCCTGTCCCAGAGGTTGTTTTTTTCCTCAGAGAAAGATACTGAAGAAAAATGTCATATCTTCCAAGAAATGTCAGCAAATCTGGTCACATGTAACTGGTATTAGAGTTGGTGGTTAAAATATGACCACCCTGCATTTGTAAAGCAGTTTGCGTGGCACGTTTAGAAGCTTCAGCTCACTTGATTCTCCTAATAGCCCTATA